AGTAGACTTTTCGCATAGGCCGCTTTAAAATTGAGGAGAGAAAAATAGCAACAAAAGAGTCTGAATTTCGCTATTAAATATAAATCCCTCATTCGCACTTTCTCCTCTTAATAAACAAAATATCAAATTACCAAAGCTACCGTCGGTAATGTAGAATCTCTGCTCTTGACCTTGCAGTGCTTTTTTCCCTTTAACACAATTCAGATAATAATTTTTGTGCGCTTTGATAATGCTGCCTTGCAATCTCGGAATGCAGTGCCAGTTGTAAATTTCGAAACCGGGCCATTTCTGGAGGGAGGGACTGGATGGAGAACACACAAAGTATGTGCGAATCGTCGCGTCGCCTTTGCTAAAAGACTCCATAAGCGATCGATTGATAAAAGCTCTGTCCCGAAATAAAAGGATGGGGCTGATGTGGTTAGAAATTCGACCTGCATGCCGCGAGGCAAAGTGGACCGAAGAGAAGAAGAGATGAAGAGAGTGCGAAGCAAAACACAGTTGGGTCTCTGTATATATATATATGGTCTCGAGAAAGAGAAGGTATAAACAGAGTAGAGAAGAAAAAGAAAAATGTAAAGAGAGAACAATATTCTTTGATCCTTTCGAGCTGCTCACTCCTTTCTCTTCCCTGGCTCCGTTTCGTTCAGAGGCTCGTAGGATTTGGACCTCCCTGGACCTCTCTCGCTGGAGGTCCTTCCAATGCCGTAGACACCGAAATTGCCCCTCATTCACTTCTTCTGTGCAATTTTTAATAACAACATTCCATTTTATTAATCTTCTTTTTTACCATGCGGTTAGAGTTCCAACTTTTTAAAAATTAATGTTATAGAAATAAACTTTTGAATATAATTCAGTTAACAAAAAATAGGGAAAAAGACATTAATTTTGGAATGATAATTTTTTGGGAAACGTTTCTTCTCTATTAATCTGGATTAGTGAAATTGTCACTGCGAATACCAATCAGCAATTATCTGGCTACCTAAAGCTGTGAAATTTCACTGATTCGCAGTGAAAATGACTTAAAAATTGAGATAGCTAGAAGTTGATGAATGGAATGAAAATCCCACTGATACAAATTAAGAGAGTAAAGTGCGCGTAAAAACACGTGTTTCCGCTAATCGGATTTTCTCCTTTCATGGATGAAAGGAGATGTATTTTCGGATGTACTTTCAAGTTTTGGTCCATTATCGGGAGTCGTTCATTTGGCCAACCTTTTTCTTGTATGGAGGTCGCCGATAAATGAGTTTGGTGATCGGCGCCAATGCCCCTTTGCGCCTCCCCCACTTCATACACATAAACCATCTAACCTCACACCGCGCCGTTCACAGACGAGTTCCTTTTTTTCTTCTATTGCTTTTCACGGGTCTTTACATGCAGCACCATCAAACGTGCGAACTCTCCATGAGACATAACCTTGGGCTGATACACGATGACGTTTCTCACGGTGATAATTATCACTGTCTTTGAAAGCCATTTAAAGACTATTCGATTTGTCTCACACTCGGTTCCATTAAAAACAAGTGATCCTTGATACATCTTATTGTCGATTTATTTTATCCACCCTCTTTCAAAGTTTACTCGACAGATTTACTTGTTGTTGTTGTTGCAACAAAAATGAACCTTGTAGGTAAGTATATATCATAGGAACTTATTAGCTATGACTAGACAGTTCTTAGTGCAAATCATGAAGCGATATCGATGGACATCGCCCGCGTAAAGAGGGTTTTAAAAAAGGGTCAGTTGGATGAGGAAGAAATATGCTATCCAATTGTTCTGAATAAATTAAATCCTTACCTGGAATCCACTAACGACCGAGAGGATACCTACTCGACTGCGTCCGCACACCCACGCGTGAGTAAACTCACACCAAACAAAACGTTCTCTTTCATGTCACACAATCGCACCCGACACGATAGGTCACGTGACGCCTCGTTCGCCTAATGGCTTTTAATTATCCCCGAACCAACTGACCGATAAAGAGGTTTTGTTTCAGTTGATAATGCTGGCTCAGCGTCCGATTAGTTGCTCAGTTTATTTTTCGGGCCCAAAAAGAACAACGTCTGAAGAAATTAATCAACTTCATTCCTCAAGTATATTAGCAATGAATAAACTAAATTTAAATAAATAAAATCTTTGCTCCTTAGTGATAATCTCTTATTCAACATTACCGAAATAGTATTTAAAGCACTAAGATCTTTAGGATTTGTTATATAAGATGTGCTTCAGTATAATAAAAAAATCGGTGCAAGTGACAATAATTAATTATGAACCTGCTGCGTCAATCGAGTAGACTTGTGAAAACCTCTAAAGCATTTGCCCCTAATTTTTCTTGCATGGTAAAGATTTGTACTAATCCGCTCCGGGCGGTTCCCATTACATTGCCCGTTTCAGACGCCAACACTTCGTTCCTCTCCACCTTCTTCTTCTTCTTCTTGTGCTACGTAAGATTGCATTGCTCGGCACAACAATCAAAACATAACCCACCCACCAGCGTCGCAACCCAATCCACTATACGCGTTTGGGACGTTATAAACATCATTTTAAAATTTAATTGCGAATACCGGCCGTGACGTGCGTCATAAATGTCTAAAATGTCAAAAAACGCACATTTCATCTCATCTCTTATTTCTGACTGTCGGTAAATAAAAAAACAAAGTTTTTAAATACCACGTTCAAAGCAACATGTTACGCTTATTATTGCTAATACTTAGCACGGAAAAAATTAAGTACTAATATTAATATTAGCAGATCTCAATTCTTTCTCATTTGGTAACAGGAATAATTTTACTTACCCAATCCTATCCGGTGCCTGCTTAGGAGTCGAACGTTTCTGACTGGTACAACCGACGAAAAGATGAGTATCTTCTAGGAATGTAGAATTGTCTGCTTCCTGAAAAATTTAATGCAATTTTTTATTAATCTTTCCTCTCTAGGTAGATTGATTTAAATTACGAAAAAGGCTACCAAGTGAGGATGATAAAAAGTATATTACAAGAGAAATGTAAAGAAAAAGTACTTGTTAGAAGTGCCAATAAGTGAATTTGAGCGCTCTGTACCTTTGGATGCCATTGAATTGCATTGAATCAGCTTAAGAAGGTGGGTTGGGTTGTGACAGACTTAAAAAGACCCACGTGAGTTCCTGCCATAGTTACACACCTGTTTGTGTGTGTACACATACATTCCCAGATCCTAAAATGCCATCCCCACTTTTGCGTCTTTTCCCCTTCTCCCCTTGCTGGGTCTTTAAACCGACCCTCTTGAAGCAAGAGAACAAGTAGTTTGTTGCAATGTAGCTTCTAAAAAGCGCGGGAAATTTCTTTCTCTCCGTTTATCATTTAGGAGATCAATGATCATTTTATCAAATTGCTCTTTTTGATTTCCACGAATGATGTGACATTTTAAAAGGGAGGGGGAGTCAAAAATTTGACAATTTTATAGAAAAAATGCCTATGTGTAATACATGGAGGAAGCTATTTGATAACATTTTAAACTTTTATAGTAATTTTCAAACGATACTTGATTAGTAAACAAAGTTGGAAATACTTTAAAGAAGCTGAATTATCAATAAATTCTTTTTTGATATTTTTTTATTAGAGCCTTGCTTGTAGGTGTGGAATCTTGGATCGATTTTAAACGTTAGATTTAGGAACAGTCATATACCATGAGATAAAGGAAGAGGCATCTCACACCCTTCAAGATTTTCGACGGCGGCGCCGCATCCTTTAATATCCTTTTCTCTTCCTCTGCGTCCCCACTCCCAATACCTAACTTGATGGAATGCCTGCAGGAGAATAAATATCCACCTTATTGTTCTCACATTTCAATTTTTTTTCATGTTCCTACAAGTTATTAATTAAAAATATTTTGATCAAAAGATTATTAGAAGGATGCTGTGTGAAGAAATTGTTTTAATGAAATCTAATGTACGCTTTTCATAAAAATTTCAGTATTAAAACTTTATATAAAAATATTTAAACTTTGAGAAAGAAATGAATAGAAATGTCTTATGGTATGTGGATAGTTTTTCAGAATGAAAATGTGAATGAAAGGAAAATATTGCCCTATACGTAAACAGTAACAGTTCTTCAATAATTGAGTAGTAAATAATAGGCATGAAAAAATGTCACGGTATTATATGACGTGTTCAAACAAACCACTTATTTTGAAAGTTAATGTCACTTGTGGTGCAATTTTCCTATCCTTCATGGGGAAATCGATATATACATTGCGTACGTGGCTTTATAAAAAATATTTTCCTCGTCCTTTGGACACGTACTCTTGCTAGTTCAAACGTTAGTAAATCACTAACACCGGACGGAATACTGTCTCTACTTTAGTATTCATTACTAACGACTGCACACAATTTCCAGACTAACTTTAATTACAAGATTCCAAAAAGCTTACCGTTTCAAATTAAATTATTAAACTTTCATTAAAATTAATAATACATCAGTACTAATAATTAAATTATTTATTTTTCAATCGCAATTATTTTTTATTTAATAATAATAATAATAATAATTTTTAAAGCATTTTTAAAAGTGATAGTGAAGTTCATCAAGGTTTAAAACTATAAATAACAAAAGTTGATACATTTTTGATTTCAAGTCTATAAAAGATTTATAAAATTGAAAGGCTGAGAATTTGAAACATTACGAAAAGTGTGAATGTGAAATGTTAGTGTCATTATATCAAGTTTTATTTTTAAGGATGGAAATTTAAAAATTACGAAAATATCTTTTAACCAAAAATGTTGAATGTGAAAATAAACTTTTTTGTAATTTTTCCATAAAATTATAATGAAATCACCTAAGTGTAAATTATAGAAAAAGATTAAAAGTCATCAGTGAAAATGAAGGAACTAGAGAGATATTTAAAATCATTTTCATTTGGTTATTCACTTTTTGGCATCGGAAAAATTGTCAAAAGAGATAAGCATTACGGGAAAATCACATTGCTTTTACATTTGTTCCACGTGGCGATTGTTTTCTACAATTTTTTGTTTGAATTCCCCGCGTACATGGGAAGTACAAATGGCTTAGTTTGCAAACTAGTCACATTCATTTTCCACTGGTCGAATTTAATGAAAATTTTGTGCACCTGCTTCCGTGGAATTTTCCGACCGAATGCAGTGCAGCATTTAATTTCGGACATCATCAAGTTGGAGAAGAACATCCGCGAAATCAAGAGGAGGAAAAATGATCGGAACAACTCGCTCTACAGAGGACTAATGTTTGTGAACGCGTGGTTTCCAATTATTGTCTGCGTGATTTATGCAGTAGATTTAAATGGTAATCCGGAAATTCGAATTGGAGAAATTTTTCAGATTATTAATCGTGTAGGACTGGTGGTTATGCATTCGTCCTTTTGCACTTTTACACTCATCATTTATCTTCAATTGAGGGAGACGAACAAGCAGTACAAGCGATTGAGGAATTCGCATCTTTCTCTCGCGCACAGAATTTGGGGTTTGAAAGTGGCGGTGTGGCGCCACTGTACCATAACAAAAGCTTGGAATCAGCTGATTGATGTTTATGAGTCGTATTTATTCTTCGAGATGATTTCGATGACTGCGGCAACTCTTGGCAGTTTGTATTACGTCTACAGTTATTTTGCTCCGGGGAGATACTTGGAATACAATTTTCTACCATTGCGGGAAATTTTGCTCGTCGTTCAAGCAATCTACGAGATTATGATCATTTGCAAACTTTGCGACTCCATAGTGAATGAGGTAAGATTAACTATTAAATAAACTATTAACTATTAAATAAATGTTCACACTTATTGTTAGACGAAGACACTTGTTTTTGCAGTAAAAAATTAGATGCAAAAGACTGAGACATTATTATTTCAATTGTAAGATAATAATGAATTAATAGAGGGAACGAACCAATATAGCTGGGTAGTGAGCCTCCGTGGCTTGCGATCGTCGAGGTGTTAGTACTTGGTGACCGCGCTATCTCAATGAATTCTCACTATTTTCAAGATATACCAAGCAACAAGTTTGACGTCGAGGTATAATGATGTGCACTGTCGATTATTGTCCAGAACACACCATTAGAACTCGGCTGTCGACAAACCGGTTGTACTCAGGAGCGGCGAACCCATTAGATGGGTGGTCCTAAATACAATAAGTAACTCCTAATTTCAAGTCGTTCACATTATATAATAAGTATAGATTTAAGGTAATATTTTTGAGAAAATTTCTTCGGGGCCTGACGCTAGAATTAAGGCAAAAGACGAGTTTATAAATAACTAATAGAGGGACCGAATTTTTCAGAGTTGCAAAAGAGGAATAATGTCCGAAGAAGCTAAATTGAAAACTACACCGCTCTTCTTGATGGAGTCACCTTCTGGTTTCAAGGGCGTGAAATTGCAAAGATTGTCATGCAAGCTGTACGGACACTTCACATTGAACAATAGCTTGTTAATTATGGTAATTGGAAAACCTTTACTCTTTATAAACGAACGAGTATATATATAGGAGAATTGACGATTTGACTTTTCTCTCACAGGTGTGCTTGTGCCTGCTCTCGTACGGCATATTTTTCTCTCTAAAGATTATAGGAAATCTTGGAGAATTTTTGGCATTGCAAAATTTGTTGTAAATTTCGTAATGTGTGGATGCCGCAGATGATTCGGGCTCATTTAAAATGAATTTTTAATTCATTCAATATTTAAAATACGACCCTTCTCTACTGACACATCGCTACGGGCGTTCACACCGATATGTATTAGTAATTTATAAATTCGCTTAAAGCCAAAACAGCAATTAATTATTTTGTGGCGCTGTTTCTTAAGATAAATCGTTTTGGCAGGACTAGAGGAGTGAGTGCCAGTGTAGGACTTCCAGGGCCGCTTTAAGCGAAAAGTATTTCTTTTATCAAACTTTTCGTTTACATAAGATTATTGTAGATATAATTAAGACTCGTTAATTGTTGCCTCACATTCACCGAAAATTGTGCACAAAGTGTGGTGTTTGTGGGTTGGAACATTTTATTATACTGTATATTACACGTACAATGTTGGAGATTAATGCAGAGTGAAATTGTGTGGCGCATGGAAATTATACTTTTAAGCTTGTTATGTAATTGTTATGAATTGGAGATAATAAAGAAGCCTTTAAAAATGACATAGTCTTGGGAGAGATTTGCAGGGTCCAACCCTGCAGAGATGAGGCGACCACATTCCTCTCCCAGCACTACTCTTTCTCTCTTGCGCTGAACCTTCTCTTTGATATCTTCATTTTGTCCTATCGTAATTCAAATTCACAGAATGCTCACGATGGCCGTCCTCTGTCACCGGTCAGCCGGATGTAAAACAGACTGAACGTTGACCCTTCACCTGCCTTCCAAACAAACCAAAACAAGAATTTTTCGACGTGGTAAAACTTATAATTTGCAAAGTGACTAGTTTAAGAGTTGTTAATGAACTTTAAAATTCACTTGATTGTCTCGAGAGTACATGAGACGACGTTTTATTTCCTGAAGGATACCATAAAATTGATTTAAGTCGTTGCACAGGGGGCAGTGAAGCACGTACCCTTATGCGAAACGCTTGAGTAATGCCGCGGTGATTATAGTGTAACGTGAGTTGAGCATTCATAGGACCCATTTCTGCACTTCAGGGGCTATTGGTTCTGTTCTCCTCTGTTTAGACCGAGGCGCATAGGTTGTAAATCCACTGTGTGATTAGAGGTCGGCATCTGGATGATGGTTATGCTTCTGATATGCTGCGCCAAAATCACGCACCCAAAGAATAGATCGTCATTAAGTCTCTATCTAATGATTGGAGAATTCCCCACTTATTCCTACAACTTTATCTTCGGAAATCGGAATCTATCTAGAAACCTTCAAGTCTGTGAAGAAGAAAAAGAAAAAGTAGCAGAGTTGGTGAAACTGAATTTTAAAGAAAACCGTTTAAAGTCAAGATGAAAATGAAAGGCTTAGTTAATAAGATGCAGTTCCCTGAAGCGTGGCCGCGACTGATATAGTTCCACCAGGTGTTAGTTGAGCAACATTTCGTCGACTCTTGAAAAAGTGCTCGTTGATTACGGTTGGTGTATCATTTTTTCCCCATTAGATGACACACGGATATCGCCGTCCCGCCCCTCTGGGTGATACCTACAGCAACTTACACGGGAAGAGAATTTTCGTCAAGGATGAAGCTTGAAAGGAACTCGGCAAGCAAGCTCGTGCCAAGCAGATGTCTTTTTGTCATGCTAAGGGGATCTCCCCGAGGCGAAGCTTAACGTCTTTCATCATAACCTTGCTGTGCGAGTTTCGTCTAAAATTGTTTTATACGCCACGGAAAGAGGCATCGATCCGTAACGCTCTCCAATTACGGTTCGTATACATGTCATTTTAAAACTCCATTCCTTCTCCATATACTCGTTTGACTCTGTATTTTACTTGTTTTACCACTCTTTACAATCAACTCTGGTCAACTCTGCAAGACCAGCACCTAAACTGTGCACAGTGTTTACATTTGATGCTCAATTTCAAAATTTTCGCTTCTTCGGAACTAGACGCCATAATTATGGTCTCTAACGAGATTAATCGACCGGAGACCATAATAAATTTTAAGAAATGAGAGAAGGAGTGAATTTGGTGACGAGGAATGTAGAAATATTTACAAGTCACAGTTTTACATAAATTGCGCAAATCCTCTTAAGGGGGGGTCTAAGTGGTTTGGTGACAAGCGACAAGGTCTTATATTATATTTTTTTTCACAATTTAAAGAAAAAAATGTATGAAATGATGGAAAAGGATGAAAAAATAAATGGAAGTTGGTTTTTATAAACGGAAGTAATAAAAAGTTATAAACTAAATATTTTTTTTTCACTGAGCTATCAGATAACAGTAGAACACAATATTTTCATTTTAACTGTGCTGTGCACTACAAGATGGCACTGCTAATGCCTCTAAGTAGCGAGTTCACAGAAATTAGCAATTTTGGTGCGGCTGCGAAAAAGGCGCAGTGTTTACGTCAGTCGCTCAGTTTCCTGGCGTTATGAAAACGCGATTGAATAAAATGTTTAATTGTATTAAACTTTAATTTAAAAAATATTTAGAGCAGTTAAAAAAATTGAGAAAAATATTTCATATTTTTTTTCTACAAGTGCAGTAAAACTCGGTAGTTTATTTATTTACATCTGTGATTGTGAAGTTCGGTATAACCTCACTTGTCAATATACTTGGAGAATTTCGCACTTGGTTTTTAATAATGCATTTTTTAATTTCAAATATAATTTGTAACAAAGAAATGCAATTCATGAAACAAAAATTAGATTCATAAATAAAAGAAACATTCTCTTATTCCAAATTCGTTGTTTTATTTTGATTTTGACTATTCCTTTTTTCTAGTAATAGTACAAAATTTAAATATAAAATTGTTCAGCCATAATTCATAAAAATAAATTTATAAAATCTTATTAATTTCATTTGAAAAATATTTAAATGTATTATTAGTTTACTAAACTAATATTAACATTATATAATATTATTAGGTTGACAACATTTAGGCATTATTTTATAAACACAAAAAATTGATCATTTTCAATATGTTAGTTAGATTGTTTATATTATTATGATTAATAATATAATATATAAAGTAAGAAAAATAAGTCATATTTTCCACTAAAAGTGCACTAAAATTCAATAGTTTGTTTATTTATTTACATCTTTGATAGTGAAGTACATCATAACCTCACTTGGCAATACAATTGGAGAATTTTGCACTTTGTTTTTTGTAATGTATTTTTCAATTTCAATTAATTTGTATAATGCAAATGTAATTGGCTTCATTTTAAAAATTAAATTAAATACCTAGGATTTTTTAAAATAAAAATCATTTATTTCTCTATAATTAGGGAAAAAATTATTTTACAAATTCAGATTACTTATTTTCTCTTTAGTGAAATAAAATTTTTTTTATTTTCATAAGAAATACCAACAATAAAATATAAATCTTACGATTAATTAATTTTTAGTCAAAAATGACATATTTATTAATCAAACAAATTTATATATGATTAAAAAATCGATAGATTTGTTTTCCCAATGTTGATAAAAAGTTTTTACAAGTAATTTGTTAAATTTGTCTAGTTAATTATTTGTTTTAAAGAAATAATTAATTATTTTAAATCTTATTATTAAATATGTTTATTTCTTTATTAAAAATTTAAATAACTGATAGGGTAAACGTACCAATTGTCGAGGATGGTTCCTGTTGTCGAGTAAACAAACTTTGAATTTTATTTAAACATTGTAGCACATTGTAAATGGAAAAAAGTGGTAAATATTAATTTTCTTATGCGCTATAAATGTGAAAAAAATATATTAATATTATATCCATAAACAAATGAGACATTTTAGACAATATTTTTTGGTTATTACCATGGTAACATCGACAAATGGGACACCCTCGGCAATTGGTACACTTACCCTATTACACTAATTTAAAAAATAAAACGTTTCTTTTATTGAAAAATAAATTGCTTTCTATATTTATAGAATTAAAATTTGCAATTTAAAAAATTTTCCATTTTTAAATATTAAAAAATTTGTTTCTTCCGGAAAACAATAACGAGAATTTTTTAAAAATGACAATCATTTATAAATCTCTAATTAGAAAAAAAATGCTCTTACAAAATTAGTTAACTTTTATCTTTAATAGTAGTATAAAGGTTTTCCGTTTTTAGATTTAAAAAAAATGAGAAAATTTAAGTCTCATGATTATTAATTTTGAATTAGTCATTTCTGACCATTTTAACAACACTGCTACGTTTATTAAATAATTTAGTAACATTACATACAAAAATTATAAATCCAAACAAAATAACAGCACAATATTACTGATTAACTTTTAGTCAAAAATGACTAATTTTTAGGTCATGTTAAATAACTAAAAGGTCAATAGATTTATGTCTTTCAAATATTTTCGAAAAGTTTTTAGTAGTAATTAGTCAAATTTGATGGTGGAATTATTTGTTTTCTACTAATGATTAGTAGATTAATAATTTACTACTAATTCAGATTTAGAGATTGTACAAAAGCTATTTACTAGAGCTGCGCAAAATTCGAACCGAACCGAGTTTTGTTCGGTTTTGGGTCGCCGAAATGTCGAATATTCGACATCCGAACTGGGCTAGTTCGAATGTTAAATGTTCGACATTCGAACTAGGCTAACTCGAATGTCGAATTTTCGACACTTGAACTAGGCGAAAAAATTCGAATAGTTCGGTTCGAATTATTTTGCACAGCTCTACTATTTACCAATGCATCCTAAGAACTGATTTTCGAATTAATTTTAAACTGCATAATATGACCCAAAGTCCAAAAATTGATTTACGTTTAACTATAAAATTAATTAACATTTTAGTCTTTTGAATATTCAACAATAAGCAGAGTCAGACATTCTTTCCTCTGCGATGTGATTGTTCAATTTTTAAACAGTGAAATTGACTCTTTTTATTTATTTGAGATACAAAATAAAAAATATTAATAAAATACTTAATAATAAAAAATAAAAACTTAATTTTTATTACCTCAAATAAAATTTTTTTGTTAAATCTAAAATAATTTGTATGTTGGAGAAAAGAAGCTAATGCGTTTTTATTAAGTGTAACAATTATATAAAAATTATACTAAGTCTAATATTAAAATTCACTTATTTGTGTATTATATTTATTATATTATATTTTTTAAATAAATATTTTTATTATGTAGACCATGTATATTTGGAGAAAATGAATCGGAATTTACTTAACGCAAGTATATTTATTCAATTTGATAAATGCATGTAAGTATATTCAAATGAAGTGAAAACTTTCATAGATCGTTAGATCTATGGTACAAGTTTTAAAAATGCTTAGAATTTTCAACTTGATACACCATACATTGTTATTGTTATTGAAGTATATAACAAAAATTCAATAAATTCCATACAGTAGGTGTTTAATTTTACCGTGTCGTTAATTTTGGCATGTTATTCTATTGTACACGCATATATTTCCATTACAATATCATTTATTTTAAACATGGAAATTTTGCACTATTTTATAAATAACGTGTCAATATTAATTAAATTATGGTTGATTTAAAATTATTTATAATCAACTGTTAAGTTTGAATGAAACACAAAATTTTTAAACAAATTTTTTATTTACATTAAAACAATATATATTTGAATTAAATATAATTAGTCAACCAAATAATCCTTTTCAATCAAAATAATGCATATTTTTGATATATTGGGATTAGGCTTATAAACTAATCTAAATTTAATACAGCTCTTTCTATTTAAAGAACTTTTTATAGAATTGTTTATTTAACTTGTACATATTTAATTGCATCAGTTAAACTTTATATAGTGTTCAAAAGTGTAACATTATTAACTAACTTACACACGACTTATCATAGACATTTGATTTAAACACATGCAAAAGATTCATCTGGATGTTTTTCTATTAGCGTGGCAAGATTTACAGCTCTTTTTTATTTAAAAATATTTTTAGAATAAGTTGTTTTTAACTAATACTCATGGAATTGTTTAAGTTTAGTTATATTTCCAAATAAAGCAACAATATTATTAAGTTAACTTACTCACGACTTATCATAGACATTTGAATTAAACACATGCAAAAGGTTCATCTGAATGTTTTTCTAATAGCGTGGTAAGATTTACAACCCTTTTTTTATCTTTTTATAAAATTGTTTTTTGACTTATACTCATGGAATTGTTTGAGTTTAATTATATATCCAAATATATCAACAATATATTAAGCTAACTTACTCACGACTTATCATAGACATTTGATTTAAACACATACAAAAGATTTATCTGGATGTTTTTCTAATAGCGTGGCAAGATTTACAGCTCTTTTTTACCCATGTGATAATTTATTAAGGTCACGTGCAATTGCACTTGAATTAAAAAATCTTCTAGTGAAGTAATATATGTTTTAATTTATAACTTTGATTAAACAACCTAAATAATGTTTTGAAAATTATGTAGAATGTACGAGAGAAATGGAGAGGGTGAAGTAGAAAGAAAAATAATTATTAACAGCATCTGAATATTCTGGATATCCTACGGATATCATAAGGATATCAGGAAACTATTATATCCATAGGATGTCTCAGGGATGTCCTGAGATATCTTAAAGGCATCGTAGGGATATTCAAATTTCCGGATGTGACTAAGACTTCCGTAGGATATCGTTGAATATCCGTTACTGTCAGGAATGAACTAACAGAAGATAGAAATAATGTTATGAAGAATATAAATTTTTTCTCACCAATAATCCTCCTTTTCCTTACTGTCAAAATCCAGAGCACACTTATATTTTCTGCGTAGACGGAACCCTCTTATCAACACCGTTTTATCCATTCGTCACATGCGAAATACGCACAATGGGAATAAAGGAAGACTGAAAATAAATATACAAATTAAAATTTAATAAATACATCTATTAATAATGCTCAAAAGTTGTTCCACAAATTAAATAAAAAAATTTTACATTTCTCAAAGCCACTGTTAAAATATTTAAATATAGTTTAAAATTTTTTTTCAGTTACTCACTTTTTCGAATCGCACATAACTACAAGTCTATATGACTAGGGTAGATTGATATTTAGACCGTTGAACATTTTAAGACGTCCCAAACACGAAAGATTCAATTGCTCTCACCAGATGTAGTTCTTAACATTGATACACTTTTTATGGAGCTGTCCGTCGCAAGTAGCACACCATTTCCAGAGTATAATTGTCGAGAAATCTGAACACCAGAGTTATCTGACAACTGAACGTAATTTTTCTTCTTCTTCAATGATGTTCACAATGTAAAAAACAAGGCCTAATGTTTTCTTTATTACTCCCGAAATCTGCAATTAAATTGATTAAATAGCACACTATGAACAATAGAAAAAATTGTGAGTTACATATGACTTTTTATATCACAAATGATTGAAATCTCGTTCATTGAGCAGTAAAATGGTTGAAACTCGAAGTTTGTAGGCTAGGTGACGAAGAAGAGAATGGACATGGTTATGGAGGAAAACTGATCTAACATTTTCCTCTCTGTTTGTATGTTTATTTTCTACTAACATCAATTAACCTATAAACTTCGATTTTCAACCCGCTATACATGCCCAATAAAAGTACATTGTGTACCGAGATACTGTAAACAAGCGAGGACGAGAAATGCGTGCGCCCGAGGTATACACATTTTATACAAAACGAGAATGGAATCCCCGGTTAATCGGTGCGTTTTTGAAAGGTAAAGCATAGCTTTGCTTCAAGCAGTAGTTTTACCGTCCTAGGATGAGAAAACTCCTGCCTGAAGTAATGGCATGCAATAAAAAAAAGTAGTTTTAAAAACAAAAAAATTAGTAAAAAAGTAGCTTTTAAAAATTAAATTTGACGACTACAAAACTCGTTTTAGACGATTCACAAAAATAACAAAAATTTAATTCTGTTTTTCATTTTCCTGATTGTTTCCTAATTTTCATCAAAAATATTTACTTTTTTTCTTATACTGTTAATAACGTAAATTCTACATTTTTACAAACTTCAATAATTTTCTAAATTTTATTTTAAATTCTTCAAAAATACGATATTTAAAAATAATTTTTTTAAGTAAAAAATAAAATTTATTTTAATTAAATTTGACAAAATTTCCAAATAATTGGAAATTATTATCATAAAAACATTTTTAATTACACTTTTTCCAAAAGACTAATTTTTTTCATAATTTCCAAATTATATTACATTTAAGTATTGAATTATTTTTGTTAAATAAATATTTACATACTTACTTATTTATTTTTTCCACAGAAATTAAAATACTTTAAATGATTACTATGTAAAATCTTTTTCAAATTTAACAACTTTAAAAACTTACATCTGTAATTCTTCCAAAATTCAATCATTTCTTTTATTGACATTTGTAATTAAAATTATTCAATCCTTTAAGCATTTTAAAAAAACAATAAATTAATAATTTGTTAAAATAGACATTTCAATACTAGGTATTTCAATTTACAACAATTTCATTAATTTTATTAAGATTTTATTCGACGAATTTAATTAAAATTTCTTTAAAATAATTTAATACTTATAAAGAATTTTATAAGGATTTTTTAAAATAGATGAATCACTGTGAATTATTTTATTAAAATTTCTGAAAGTAATTGAATTTTAAAGAAATTTTTGTAAATAGCATTGAAAATAATTAAATTAATTAATAAAATAAAAATAATTAATTAATTCTTCCTGTGAAGAATTTTATATAAATTATTTTAAATAATTGATTTCTTTCGAAAAAAATTAGTAAAACTGTGTTTGAAATAATTGAATTTCCAGTAGCCGTTTTATTAATTGTAAAAATGTTTTGTAAAAAATTTTTAAGAATAATTTTTTCATTTCAAATTTTAGCAAATTTAAAGTTGTGCAAATTCTGAAAAAAAGAAAAAAGTTGGTTTTAGTGTGACAGCGATTCACACAAAAGCAACTTTACTAATTGAAATGTAACGTGACGGTTTTCTAGGCATTATAGTCTAAATTAAAATCTTAGACATATTAAATTAAAAATATCAATATGGACAAAACATCAAAAATTCAATAATTAAAATTTTTTGTAATTATAAATTTGATAAGGTACTTTTTTGATGCGCAATAAAGCTATTTTATTAGAATCATAAGTTTACTTCACTAAAAAGTGTTTATTAGGACAAAAGACTTGACTGTATTTTTAAAAATGTTTAAATAAAAAAAATTTGAAATTATTTTTGTTAGCAGTTTTTTATTTTTATTGCAGATAAAATTCTTACCTCTTCTTGACTAATCAGTTCCCACAAAAAATCCTCTCCTTGATCTTCTGTTGATGCTTGACGTTTACGTTGAATGAAAACTTGTAAAGCAATTACACCTGTCACAATTTGGTTGATATTTACAGCTTTTTGCAGAAACACTATTATTGCACAATTTCTTGATCGATGACAGCAGAAATGTTGAAATGGCTTAAATTTCCTCTACTACAGCAGTCTAAGTGTCGGGAGTTTTTTTCCTCTTACGTAGATTGAATATCTATAAAGAAATTAGTTAGCTGTAAATAATTGTTTTACTCGTAGTGATGCTATCGCCATGATTGTATTGTAAACTAAGAATTTAATGTAAAGTTAGCTTTTCAGTGTGATAAAATTTATTTATTACGAACGTTTATTAACTTACCTTTTAAAACCTTACTTTCGTTTTAAAAGTATTCGGTTTGTAACGAGTTTCGATTTCTTCTAAACCTCGGGTGATCTTTCCAGCGTCTGTGAAATATATATTTCTTCAATATCCTTTTTTACACATTAAAATTTAATCGTTGGTGCAGATAGCAACTGCAAAATAAAAATAAGTCATTTTTTTGTCAGGTTCCGTTTCCTGATAATAGAAATTTACTGAAGTACTTTTAAAGATATGCATTTTTCAATTTTACATAGTAAACATAAAAACTCACTGAAGACTTAAAAAACATAATTTGAATGAAAAACATCAAATAACACATCCATTTTTTAACAGCAACTGTCAATAACTGACAAATGAAAAGTTTTGCACTTGTTTTCATTATGAAGCACTATTTTTTGTATACATATTTTATTTTATTAAATATACAATAAGCCACATGACTTACTTTCTTGTCTGACAGTAAACATATATTTACAGCATAACCAAAACTTTTTTGGAAAATTTGTTTACTCTGTAAAATTGTTATTGACAGTAGTGTTCTCACCTCTTTTTGGAATTTTAGTACATTTAGAAAATGTATTTTTTACTTTGCAGTTATTTATTGTCTATTAATTCACTGTCTCAAAATGTAAAGAGAAATATAAAACTGACTCTAGAACCTCTAGAAATAATTGGATATAACCTACAAGTCGTAGCCGGTTGCAATACTGGATACGCTGTGCGCATGCTCCATACCGCGTTTATTTAAATTCCCTAAATCATAATAGAATGTCGGGTTATAATTGATTCAATATTACATATCGTGATACACTCGAATATTCAGAAAAATATATTGAAACATTTATTTTATAACTCACTTTTTTCAAATTTTCATCACGTAACATAATTTTATATTTTTAATATTTTCAAAAAATAAATTATCATCTGTGAAAAATGTTAACATTGTTAGATTTAAATATTACTTGTGTCTTTTTTAAATAACAATAACATATATTATATGTAAATTTTGACATAAAAAATTTTAATAAATTATGTTCAAAAGTTTTTTAAAATTCTTATCAAAATTTCAATTATCTTTATAAATAATAACATTTTTCTCCAAAATGCAATTATTTTTAAAATTTTTTGATAATTCAATTATTTAGAAAAATAACAAAATTCTTCAAAGGTATTCAATTATTTTTACAAATATAGTGAAATTCTTTGCAAAAATCCAATTATTTTTAATATAATTTTAATAAAATTTCATGAAAGAATTCATTTTTTAAAAAAAAATTTGATAATAATTTTCGAAAGAATACAATTATTTTCTAAAATTTTAATAAATTCTTTTAAATAATTCCAGGGTTCTCACGCTTTTGCTATTTTTAAATTCCTTGACTTTTCCACGCTTTCCAGGTTAAAAAACGGAATTTTTCCAGGTTTTTAAACTACATTTATATTTTACCCAATTAAATAATTTCCTGATTTTCAGACAAAACTTTGACTTTTTCCCTGACTCTAAAGAACTTTAGTCTTAAATAAATGTTTAATTATAATTATTTTTTTATTGAAATTAAGATTATTGAAAATTTTAAATTCAATAACATATAAGAATAATAATTATTATAAAACTTGCTAATTTGTTACTGTAACTTTTTCAAAAATTATTTTCATTATTTCGATTATTTATTTCTAGAATTGTATTAAAAATAATTGAAATACTGCCAAGAATTTTACTAAAATTTCTTTTTAAATAATTGAATTATTTTGTGAAATTTTATTGAAATAGTAGACAATTAAAATAATTTAATTTTGACAAAATTTATTAAAATTATTTTGAAAGAAATTGAATTGTTACAAAGAATTTCATTAAAATTTTTGAAAATAATTTAATTCTTTGAAGAACTTTAATTAAAAATGTATTGGAAAAATAGGCAAAAGTTTTTTAAATAATTTAATTTCTTTGATAAATTGTAATAAAATTTTTAAGATTAATTACATTTGTCCAGGAATTCCGTTAAAATTGTATTGAAAATAATTAAAAGTCTGCGATGAATTTCATTATTTGTGAAAATAATTAAATCCCTGTAAAAAATATAATTGAGGAAATTTTTTGAAAGTAATTAAAATTTTACCAAGAGTTTTATTAAAATTTTTGAAAATAATTAAAATTTTACCAAGAATTTTATTCAAATTTTTGAAATTAATTGAATTTTTGAGAAGAATTTTACAATTTTTGAAAATAATTGGATTTTTGCAACTAAAATTCTTCTATAAATCCATTTTTTTAATAATTAATTAAATATATATTAAAAAATTTAGTTCATTTCAGAAGAATTTTAATTTTTACAATTTTTTTAAATCTAGGTGTATTAAAATTTCTAATTAAATTCATTTGAAATTGAAATTTTACAAACATTAAAATTAAAACCTTTTGTAGTTCATCTACTTATGAAAAATGTAAACGCAACTTTTTTAAAATTCAATTAATTTTTAAATATTTAAAAATGAATGAATTCAAATATTTTTATAAGTAGTAAAATTCATTGTAAGATTTAAATTATTTATCATTAATAATAAAATTCTTTTCAGAAATTCAATTATTTTCTAAAAATTTTAATAAAAATCAAGAATTAAATGTTTAATTTCAATTATTAAGAAACACGATTATTGTAAAAAAATTGAAAGAAATGGTTTCATATAAAATTCAATTGCTTTGAAAATTTTCAATTAAAATTATTAAAGAAACTATTATTTTAAAATAATTTTAAAAAATTCTTCAAATGTTTTTAATTAGAATTATCAAAAATTTGAATTTTTTCCCAATAATTCAATTATTATGTAAATTATAAAATTCTTTTTAGAAATTCAATTATTTTCATAAATAAAAAAATTTTTACAGGAATTTAATTATATTGAAACATAATTCTCATACAATTTTTCGAAAAAATCTATTATTTTTGAAAATTTATATAAAATTCGTTGCATGAATTAAATTATTTAAAAAATTTGTATTACAATTCGTTAAAAGAATTCTATTATTTAAAAACTTGTTAATAACATTCTTTATGAGAATTCAATTTTAAAAAACATTAATTTTATTCAATAAGTTATTGATTTTTGTAATATTTAAATAATTGAATTCTCATAGAATTTCTAATAAAAATTGATTTAAAAATGAATTTCAATTAAAATTATATATATAATAATTTAATATTAAAATCAGTATAGCATGCATTTTTAGAAATAATTGTAATCTGAAAAAGTTTTAAATTAAAATATTTGAAAATTTGAATTTTTCATACTTTTAATTTAAAATTTTATGGAATTTTCTTCAAAAAGGTTTAAAGAAATTTTAAAAAATTTTAAACAAATGGATTTTAAAAGTCTCAAAGAACTTTTTCGAAAATTATTAAAAGTAACTTATTTAAAGAAGAATTTTATTTAAAAATTGTAGACAATAATAATTGAATTGAAAATGATGAAAATAATTTCGAAGAAGTTACAGTACCTAACTATATTTCTATAATATAAAATAATTATTTTATAACTTGATCCTTTTTAATTATTATAAAACATGAATTAAAGTTTTAAGTAAAACTTTTCAAGGTTTTCAAAGTCCAAAATAATTTTTTTCATGGTCCACTTTTTAGGGTACTAATTTTCAAAACATTTGTTATTTATAATCGAGTATAATAGAGTAAGTTCTATTTATTAGTTTTTCTCAATAAGTGTATTTCAAGTAAATTTTTACTTACTCTGAAAATTTTAATTAGTAAAAATGATTACTAATTTGATTTAGTGACTGACATTTTGATTTTAAATAAGTAAATTTTACTAATAAATAATCATTTCTACTAATTTTTTAGTAAAATTTACTAATCAAAAAGCAAAATATCAGTCACTACTTCAAGTTAGTAAACATTTTTACTAATTCAAATTTAGAGAGTACTTATAAACAATTTTATAATTTCTACATACAACAGTTTTTCATAAATAACTTTAAATACAATTTATTGATAAAATATTATAGAAATATAAAGAACATCGATTTAAGAAACATCAATCAAAATTGTTTTTAAATAATTAAATTCTTTTGAGAATTCCTATTAAAATAATTTATTGATATACAATTTATTGAATTAGGATAAATTTTTGAAAATAATTGTATTACTGCGAAGAATTTAATGCCCAATTTTAAAACAATTGATTTTTACGGAAAAATGTATGCAAATTCTATTTTAAATAATTTAATTAATGTAAACATTTTTTTTTTGGAAATACATAGTTGAAAGTTTGTGTAGAATATTTTAAAAACTTTTGTTTCATAATTAAATTCTTTCGGGAAATTTTATTACAATAGTAGAATATTGAAAACCATCTAAGTAAGAAAAATCTAAGTAAGAAAAATTGAAATGTTGATCACAATTTTTTTTAGATTTTTTGAAAGTAATTGAATTTCTGCGAAGAATTTAATTAATTTTTAAAATAATTGAATTCTTGTGCTGCATATTGTTATTTATGAAAATAATTGTATTTTGCAATGAATTTTATTAAGTTTCCTGAATATAATTGAATTTCGACGAAAAATTTTATATATATTTATAAAGATAATTGAAATATTGACGAGAATTCAACTTAAAACATCAAGAAAATAAATCTCATTTTTAAGAATTTTAGTTTTTCAAGGTTTCGTCATAAAATTCAGGGTGTTTTCAAGATTTTCAAAGAGCAAAAAGAATTCAAGTACTTTTCAGGGGTAGCTGGACACCCTGTTCTCAATAGTATGGGACAGGTGTCTCAGGACTGCATTTAATAAAAATATTTGATTCATTTCAAGAACTTATTTTTTTCAACTTTACAACATCAATACAAATACCTATTTTTGTAATTTTTTTGAAAATAGATTATTGAAAAATATCTAAAAATATTAAAAGTTAAATTTTATGTAAATTTTTCTACTGATTCTAAGATATACCTGAAAATATTTTGACGATGTCATTTTACAATTATACTTGATTAAAGAAGTAATAAGTTAGATATTGCTCCTGATTGTACTCCGCAATTGAAAAGGTAGGTTTTTTTCCAGAAAGTTAATATAAGAAAACATAGCTTTGCATTTAAAAAAGAAATTATTAATTAACGATTGCTTGTTATTTGGATGGGTATGGAAAATATAGATACTTTTTTGCGTTATGAATTACCTTCTCAGAGAGTGATTTATTTTTGGCCTAAGAACACTTTTTGGTCTTTTGCAGTAGACATGATGTTAATTTTTATTATTGTTATTCAGAGCTACAGATATTGGAATTTGCTAGTACTTGAAGAACAAATTAAATTGTTTATTTATTTAAAAAAACTTAAAGTAAGATAAAATAACTTCGCCCATTTTGGAGATCTGTGCTTATAATTTATTATTGAAAATTCTACTAAAATGTTATTAAAATTTAATATTTGCTTATTAATTGAACGTTTTAAATATAAATTTTGTAAGAATAATATGAAATCGACAATTATAATTCGAAAAAAAAATTGAAATAAGAACAAAAGAAGTAAAAAAGATTACAAAAAATTTTAAATAGATAACCCCTGACCACCACCACTTCCTCCACGACCGTTTCTGTTCCAACCTCCTTCTCTACCACCACGGCTTTTGCCTCCCCCACGGCCTCTTCCTCTATTATATGATCCTTTCCCACGTGCTCCTTTTTTATCGACAACTCCATGCTTTTGTAGGACATTCCGTAAAAGTTTGTTAACGTCCCGGTGGATTTTCTGTAAAAAAATTAATTATGATTATAGGTACTTAATTATTTAATAACATATTCAGTGCCGGTAAAAAGTATTTGACCACCCTACGGCATGCAAGTGCATTACAACAAAGTTTTGTGTCTTTATTACAATAAAGATAAAACCTTCATATCATCAAATAGTAATTTTAAAGCTTACAAATTTGATTTAAAGGATACCTAAGAAAATGAAAAGACAATTTTTTCATTCTTTAATTGCTTAAAATAAAAATTTTGCACTTTTCTGGAAAATTATAAATTTATATAATTTTTTAAGAAATTAATTTAGTAAATGTCATTTGTAAGCATATTTTATGACACTTGAAACGATTTTTTAAAAATTGTTCCACCATAATTTTTAAGAAAGATATGATCATTTTTTTAAAAAGAGTCATTTTTTACTTGTTGGTAACTTTTGAACAAAATTTTTTTTCTACATTTTGTTTTTCTTTAAATATGACTTATGTGCAGGATAAAATGTAGCAACAAAATTTTTGTTTATTGTTTAAATATTTTTTTTTACTAATTTTGCACATAAGAAGGGAAACTTTTTCTCTTAACAATTTTTTCCGTAAGTTAGTTGTTCAAAAGTTACCAACAATTGAAAATAAAAGTTATTTTTTTAAACAAATCATCATATTGCTTCCTCATTGAGGAAGTATCTTTCTTAAAAATTATCGTAGAACAATTTTGAAAAAACGTTTAAAAATGTGATAAAATATACTTTCAAATACTATTTACAAAATTAAAGTGTAATGGTTTCTTAATTAAATTAAAATTTTTTTTTAGATATTCTTTTAGTCAAATGTTTTATCTTTGTAATTACTATTTAAAGAAAAATTTGTCTTTATTATTAATAAAGATACAAACCTTTTTGTAAAGCCCTTGTATGCCGTAGGGTGGACAAATACTTTTGAACGGCACTGTACATTTTTACTTACTTTTGGATTTAGCGCTTGATGTTTTCCGGTCGTTTGAGACTCTGGCTTCGCATAAGTTTCAGCTTGGGAGTTGGCATTTTTTAGAACACTCTCTTGCATATTTGCAAGCATTGCAGATTGCTGCAGTGCGAGAAGAGAAGCAATGGAGTGTTGACTGTTTCCAAATTGCAAAGGCATTCCTGTAGGGGGGTAGACTTCTGTTTGTGGAAATTTTCCCCATTGTGGGTTGAACCCAGGCGTATATCCTTGCTGTCCAGGGAAGTATGGAAATGGAGGATAGACAGGAGGATAATGTCCTGCACTGTACCCAGGTGGAGGATAATGTCCTGCGCCGTATCCAGGTGCAGGATAATGTCCTGCGCCGTATCCAGGTGCAGGATAATGTCCTGCGCCATACCCAGGTGCAGGATAATGTCCTGCGCCATACCCAGGTGCAGGATAATGTCCTGCGCCGTACCCAGGTGTGGGTACGCCGTAGGACCTTCCAAATTTTGCATTCCTGAATGAGTCATTTTGAGTTTGGCTTGTTGATGGACGAGGACCTCGAAATCGGTTTGATGACGGAATATGATATTTTTCTGCAGTTCTTCTCCAACGATGTCCATTCATGTCGATTTCCTCCTCAACAATGATCTCTTCTTCCCCCATCACCTGAGAATTACTGTGATCAGAATTTTCTTTCGAAGCTGGGAGTTTTTGAAGAGTTTTTTCCTCGACATCATCAACCGAATCACCCTCAATTCCAGACAACGTTGATGTTGAGAGTGACGTAGCGTTCGATGTGGGTGGTTCGATTGTTGTAAAAGCACCCGAGCTTCTGGTAGTCATCTTTTGCATTCCTGTAGATTGAAAACAATTGTACTAGCGAAATAAAATGATTGTTTTTAATAATTTTCGAAACAGTTCTTTGACAATTTCCAAATTCATTTGTTTACAATATTCAATTCTACAAAATTTCAATTATTCATAAATGTTTGAATTAAATAAATATAAGAAAATAAAAACCTAAAATGATATTTAAAAAATTCAATTAAACTTTTTCAAAAAAATTAATTTCAAAATTCAATTATTTTTACAAAATTCACGCTATATTGCTTTTAACTGAAATTCATTTTTAAATCAATTTTTATTAGAAAATTTTACTAGAATTCAATTATTTAAATACAAAAATAAATAATGTATTCAATAATTGAATATTTTTTAAAATTGAATTTTTATAAAGAATTTTATCTCTAAATTTAAAAAAAATGTTAAGAATAATTTCATTTTTCGTGAAATTTGATTAAAATTGTATTAAAAATAATTGAAATCTTGTGATCAGTTTCATTATTCATGAAAATAATTGAATTCCTAGAAAGAATTTTATTATTTATGAAAATAATTGAGTGATTGTAAAGAATTTTACAATTTATGAAAATAAGTGAATGATTGCGAAGAAATTTATAAAACATTTGTAAATAATTAAATTCGTGTGAATTGAATTCTTCTGAACAATTTTATTAAAATAGTAAATATTGAAAATCATTGTTTAAGGAAAATTTTAGTAAATAATTTAAATTTTGCCAAGGATTTCAATAAAATTTTTGAAAATAATTGAATTTCGGAGAAAAATTTAAATGTTCCTGAAGATGATTGAAATTTTGATAATTAAATTTCTGCGAAGAATTTTGTTACTTTTGAAAACAATTCAATTTTTGCAATCATTTATAATTTCTATGAAATTCTCCAAATTATATCGTATACAATTTACAAACTTTTCGTCATTTTTAGTCAAATTGCGTACATTACAGACCTTTTCAGAAAAAAAGGAATTTTACGTACTTCAAGAAAATTTAAGGACCTTTACGGGATTTACGGACCTAGTTCGAGCCCTGTAGAATGTAAAAAAATTTCAATTATTTCAAAATTTTTAAAATATTTCTTTGTAAAAATTCAATTGTCTTGAAACAATAGACTTGAAAAATTTCAAAAATTTTATTTTTCAGAATTAAAAAAAAAACTTTGCGAAAATTTAATTTTATTAAAGAATTTTAAGTGTGTATCTTTTTTAAATGAACTAATAAAAATTTTGATTATTAATCTTCGCAATAAGAAACATGAATACATTATAATGCAACTCTTTTTAACATTCAATTATTTATTAATTATTAAATTAAAATATTTTGAAAACTCGATTTGTTAAACAATTTTTAATGAAATTCTTTAAAAACTTTAATTATTTTCAGTTGAATTTCACAAAATTTTTAATAATTTGATAATTTTTCTTAAATTTATTTACCTACTATATTTGAATCAGTGACTAGTTTTTTACTATCAAATTAATTATTTTTAACAAATTCAAATTTAGAGAACAGTATAAATATCTATAAAAAATTAAAACTGAAATAAAAAGTGAGTTTTTAAAAACAAATTAAAATTTCAGGTTACTTAATTATTTACTATTTACTATGCCTTAAATAAACTCATTTAACTTACCCTTGTTGCCATCTTTCTCTGCATTTTTTTGACTCTTTTCTCCTTCTCTGTCTTCTTCATCTTTATTAATTTCAACTTTATCTTCATTTTCAATTTTTTCTCTTTTTCTGTCTTCTTTATCTTTATTAATTTCAACTTTCTTTTCTTTTGTTTGAATTTTTTCTCCTTTTCTGTCTTCTTTATCTTTATTAATTATAACTTTCTTTTCTTTTTTTTCAATTTTTTCTCCTTTTCTGTCTTCATTATTTTTATTAATTTTTTTCCCTTTAGGTTTACTATTTACACATTTCCTCTTCCTGTTGTTCACCATTTTCTCAGCTACGTACAAAAGAAAGAAATATTAAATAAAGTTGAATAAACTTTTTTATTTATTTTAATATATGTTAAGTAATATAAATGGGTGATTCTTCTGAGAGTGTGATTTTTAAACTTCTATTTTTCAATATTTTTTTTTGAAATTACATTGTTTTTTCTAGTGAAACTACTTTCTTTTATACCCTACAGTAGGAATTTTCAGTTGCGCAAAATTAATTCTTAAAAATATTAAAGTTTTTATTCTTTGCAGATAAGATTGACTTTGTTGCTCTATTAGATTAGTTTTATTTGATTTGCGAGTTTTTTTATTAAAAATACACCCTAATATTGTTCACGTAATAAAAAAAACTTACAAAATAATAATTTGCATATTTTAACCAAATATTGTAGTTCGATTAAAATATAAATCTAGTTTAAGTATCTGATTTAATGGTTATTTGGGTTAATTTCTTCAAAATAATGCAGGTAAATACTAAAAACAAAAGAAAAATAAAAAGCAAGGATTCTGAGAAGAAATTGAATTTTTACTTAGACCATAATGTCAATTTTGATTATTTATAAAAGCAATAATTTGCCTTCTTTTCACAAATAATTTATTGACAAATTAAACATCAGATTCTCGACTTTATTTCAATGTGCATTAAAATTTTGTTTTGTTTTTTTTCATGTATAAAAATATCAGTAAACAACGTGAAGTAATTTTAACCTAAAACACTAAAAACAGAGTTTAAACATTTTTATCAAAACTAAAACTAAGGTCTAAAAAATTTTTACCTACATATAATCAAAGAAAAATCATTGTACTTTCTAACATTATTCATAAAAATTTCTAAGAGTTAAAAAAAAACTAAAAAATTAGTTTTCTTATAGAAGTCTCATTGGATACATGCTAAAAAGGCTTCGGAGATGAAACAATTTTAGTTACTGCATAAATGCAGATGAATAAAAAAATTCTTTTTTAATGATAAGTGCTAAATTTTTCTATGGAATTTGTTAATTATTAGAGAGTAGATTTTGTACAATTAATCGAGACATAAAAAATGTCACTTTTAGAAAAATCACCCAAACATTATATTATAATTTAGATAATAAAAGAATTTTTTACCTTTCTTTGGGACTTCCTTCTGAGCAATGTATGGTCTCATTTCATGATATTCGACGCAATGTATTTGTAAAGCTTTATTCACATATTTTCAAAAACATTCATTTACACTTTCTGTCGTTTGGGTATATTTCCAGAACACTCGATGAACGTTTTCAGGCTATGTCCAAACACTGTGTTACGTTGAACACCCTAAAGGTGCTTGCACACTTTCAAATTTTTCAGCAAGCGAGGTCGTCAAAATTCACGTTTGTAAATATGATTGAATCTGACAAAAGTTTATTTTCACGCAGCTTTTGTAGAACAAAGGGGCCGTGTATAAATTACGTAAGGCTCTAAGGGGGGAGGAAAGGTCCAGCTATTCATTACGTCCAGCAAAAAAAATGTCGCCAATGTATATAAATATTCTTACGAAGGAGATGGGGGGGGCTAAATTTTCGGAAAATTGGCCTTACGTAATTTGCACACGGCGCCCAATCATATTTAGTGACGTATAGTTTCACGACCGTTAAAATTTAGTGTTGCGCTGTCCTTCCGGTTTCACGGCGTTTTAAAAAGTCAGGCCGCAGTCCCATGGCAGCGTTTTGCGTTGCGTTGTAATGAGAGAGAATGCAGCAAACGTATATTTGCGTCTTTTTCTCTCCCATTACGACGCAACGCAAAACGCTGTCATGGGACTCCACCCTCAGGGTGGAGTCCCATGGCAGCGTATTGAGTTGCGTCTTGTAACTAGGCCATGAGTGTGAGAGAAATGAAGATATATGTTTGCTATATTTGCACTCACGGCCTAGTTACAAAACGTAACTGAATACGCTGCCATGAGACTCCACCCTTATGACACGTTTATGAAAATATTGTTTGTTTGTGACGTATAAGTTCGTTCACATGGCACGAAATCAAAGGATGTGTCTACAATGAGTTTTTTATACCTTTGTGTTAAACAAAAAATTACAACAAATTTTTTAGATTCCTTTGTATTTTTGGGGTGCAGTCCCATGGTACTATTTTGAGTTGCGATTTAGAACTAGGCCACAAGTGCAAAAAAGCTAACATATATCTCCATTTGAATTTACATTCTCTCTTACTCTTATGTGCTACCATGACAAACAGCAGGCAGGCACCCAATAAACAAAAACCTATTCGCTTGTTTTGAATCGGTCGAAAGCTCTTGTGAATCCGCATTCCTAAAAGGCGAAGGCAGATTAATTCTGATTATTTGCACTACTTATTGAATAGGACGTCAATAATTTGAATCGGGATAACAAACTTTTTATTATCCGATTCACAATGTGACATGAATCGGAGGTGGCGTCGAATGAGAATAGCATGATAAAAATTTGTTTACAGATAAATAAATATTATAATATTTTTCAAAATAAATTAACGAATGAGAATCATTTTCAAAATAAACGTTTTATTAAATATTTACAAGAAGAAAAATGAAAAGTATTATGAACTTGAAAACTTTTTCACACTAATATACAAACACTTCAAGTGCAAGAAATGTTCATCAAACATCGTAGATTTCAATTTATATAATCAAAATTATTCAATATCTTTAAATATTTTAATAAGCTGACTTACTCCTCACGAATCTAAACACTCGATAACATAATTGTCCACTATTGCACATTATTTATTATATTATTAACCGTATTTTAAAAAGCGCCACAAATCATTCTTGAAATTTAATATTATAAAATCTACGATTTAAAGGTTAAGGGTGCATTAATACATCTGTTGATAGGAAAAAAAGTTCACTTTTGGGCTGTAAAGGCCTAAGCACAATAGGTTCGCGAATGTCGTTCGCGAACGCAAAGCATGAGTTAGAAAGTGACAGAGATATATTTGTGTCCTTGTCTATCTCATGCGTCTCGTTCGCGAACGACTTTCGCGAATCTATTGTGCGTTGGACTTAAACTTCATACGTAAAGCATTCAATTGCTTTGAATTAGGGTGCAGTCCCATGGCAGCGTAAAAACGTCAAAGCGTCGGCGTCAAAACGTAAATGCATGAGAGTGAAAGAAACAACCTTATATCTCCATCTCTTTCACTCTCATACTTTAACGCCGACGCTACGACGCTTTGACGTTTTTACGCCGACATGGGACGGTACCTTTAAGGTAGAGTCCCATGTTTGCGTAAAAACTTCAAAGCATAAATGCATGAAAGTGACTAAAATCACCTCATGTTACTCTCTCGATCACTCCTGTGGTGCAAAATCCTATGGCACCGTTTTGCGTTGCGTTTTGTAACTAGATCATGGGTGTGAGAGAGATGGAGATATATGTATGCTCTATTTGCACTCATGGCTTGGTTACAAAACGCTACCATGGGACTCTAGCCTCAGGCTGGAGTCCCATGACAGCGTTTTGCGTTGCGTTTTGTAACTAGGCAATGAGTGCAAATAGAGCAAACATATATCTGTATCTCTCTCACACTCATGGCCTAGTTACAAAACGCAACGCACAACGTTGACATGTTTTATGTTGATTATAGTGTATATTATACTGTTTACAGAAAAGTGTGCAGGACAGTACACTTTTAAATCTGCAGAAATTGACCACATTGTGCTGCATTTATGTTAAAGAAAAGTAGCTCTTTTCCAGCAGGTGTTGCAAACAATATTTTTTCGCTCGCTTGTGCTTCCAGTGATCCTAACTTTTGGAAAATGACATCACAAGTCATTTTTAACAATATGGAACAAAGAAACAATTCATTCAAATCAGTGTGCACTTAATAACACACTTTCCATGCAGCAGGACAAAAAATGTTGTTCACAGAACAGGCGCAAGAGGTGCGATAGTGTCTCAGGCGAGATTATGGGGAAACCTCGGCGACCCTACGCTCTCTCGGCTTCGCTTTGGTGCTTTGGATCCCCTTGGTTTCCTTAATCCCTTAGTTTCCCTATTGTAAGCTATTGTGGGAACACCATTACAAACATGTGTGAACGTGATTTAGGGTACAGTCACACGATCTCATGCAAAACTTATGCATGCAGGTTGCCATGGTAGCGTTCAAGAGTGAGAGAGATAGGAAATTATTCTATCTCTCTCACTCTTGAACGCTACTATGGCAACCTGCATGCATAAGTTTTGCATGAGAAGGTCTGAACGCTCCCTTAGACATATTACAATACATTTTTTTCTTGCCAACAGAGGTATGGATGCACCCTTGCTCTTGCTATAGCTTTCTGCGAAGCATCGGAGCTGTGTAAATGCCTTTATAGTGGTAGCCTTATATTTTTATCAGATGCTACTTTGTACTTCCCGCAATGTACAAATATATTAACTGATCACGAGCATAAAGTTATTTATTGATAATAATTAATAATAATAGGTGTCACGACCTGAAGAAAGGGACCTTAGAAGCAAAAAAATAATAGGTTGTATTTGCAATTTTTTAAATCAAAATACAAAAAGAGGATCAACTGTCAATAACAATCATTGATTGTTTAAGTATTTATTACAACTAAAATATTTAATAAACACTGATTTTAGTTTGAAAAAAGTAAAAAAGAAACTTTTAATCGAGAACAATTTAACACTAACATAACCTTAAAGTGATTTGCTTCTAAGGTCTCTTTCTTGAGATGGCGACCTTAGTATTAATAATAATATTGTTATTCATTATTTCTTAAAAATTACATATGGAATAATGTTCCTATATTTTTGTAAAGCAATGTTGCCACAACTACTGATTTATCAGTAGTC